CTGGTTTGGTTTGCACTGCACTGGTAGACTGCAAGAAGTTCACTGTAAACCCAAATTTAATCTCTGAAATACTTCAGCAAAAAAAAATCATTTCAGGTTTAGTCCCGGTTAAAACTAAAATGTGTTAATGAAGAGTGTCCCGAAACTTGGATGATTTGTTACTGCTGAGGGAGATGCCACAAAAAAAATTGTCACAGAGGAAACTGAAAAATGAAAAACAATGAAGTGAAAAGTGAATTGCAGGGTAACTTGGATAAATTCAATTCACACATATTTAATGGTTCCCCATGGTCCTCCTAGGAGGGCAAACCCCCTTTGGTTTGGGAATGGGAGATGTCAGTGTAAAACACCTCTGGAGCATTTCCTAAAACAGAGGAGTCTTAAAGAGATACATTAAAATATTATTTACCCTATAGGAAAATGAAATAAAAAGGCCAGCAGTCTTATATTTTCTAATTTGGATACTAATCCTAACAGTAAGTGATGCCAAACCTTTTAGCCCAGAGTAGAGTTTGAAAACAAAAAAAGGTGAAGATGATAAATTATATTTTACAGAATGGGTAGCTTGGCAACTGATTTTTAAACAGAGAGGAGAACAAAGATTCTTGGTTTGTTTCACTTATGATCATTTAGAACTTTTAAGTGGATAGATGGAAAGATTGGGTCATTTTCAGAATTAACAGAGGAGATGTGCCTTTGTGTCTTGCAGCTTGAACTGTTTTCCACTACTTGCACCTCAAGTAGCAGCACAATTAATTTAAGATCACTTATAGTGTGTACAAATAAGGTCTGTGGTTCCATTTTCAGCTGCTAGGAAAAGTGGTGTTTATGTTTGTGCTGTAGGTGGCTGAGTTAGGAAAATCAATTATTGCCATTTCAGTCCTTCTCCACGCCAAGTGTTGAAGCTGTGTCTCACCATGTGATTTTTAATTTGAGGTCAATATATTTACAGTGAATTAAGTCTCAACAGGAATTGAAATATTCAGGATTACTTCTCTGGGCTGTGGATTATTGTAAATTTTGGAAATTTATGTGAGACAAAACGTGATTGATAAATGTAAAGGTGTGGGGAAAAACAGGATAAAAATGACAGTGCAAGAAACCGTATCTGGAAGGAAGTGCATTACACTCCCAGCTTTTGGAAGGGAAGTAAATTTAAAGAAACAATAGATTTATGGAAGTGTGTCATGCTTAGTAGAACACCACCTTCTGAATTCCTTATTTCACCACTATTAGGTGGAAGTGGAAACTGATCCACATCATAATTTAGAGTCTTCTGAACAACTGAAAAAGAGAATAAGAGCTGCATGACTGGCAGAGAAATAGCCCAGCCTCTGTGCCTTTATGACATCAGCTTCCTGGTGGATAATTTCTGTAAAATCACAGTTTCTAGCACCAAAATGTAGGCAGTGAGGCCGTTGTCCTTCAACATTGCTCTCTCAAGACTTTCCCACTGAGAAACTTGTTTTCTGTTGTGTTGAGAACTAAGAAAAATATAACTTTGCAAGATTTTGATGTTGCCCAGCACACACATCTCTCAGACCTGCATTAAACACTCAGGTTGTGAGATTCCCTTTGCTCTCCCCATACACAGCTGGGATATTCTTGAGCAGAGAGAAAACAAAAACGTGCTACAACTTCTGTTACCAGTGTTCAAGTTCCTGAATTTGCCTTTCTTTAAAGTGCTTTCAGCAATTCAGCACGAAATGTTGCTGCAAGAGCAGGAAGCTTATTTAACATTTCACATCTTGATTTTATTTTGTGTCATCTCTATTATTCTGGTATTCTAATATTTTCCTCCTTTTAGGTTTCTGGGCTTTTTTTTTTTTTTTTTTTTTTTAACTTTCACTGTGAGTTGGTACATGTAAATATTCTGAAGTGACTACACGAAGTTTTTGCTTTCTGGCTTCTTTTTCACTCAGTTTAGTGGGAGGTTCCTGTTCCCTTGCTGTCAGCTGCAGGATGGCAGCCTTCAGGACACTTTTTGTGATGCCAAATCAGTGAAATTCACACCTGTGTGTAGGAATTACAATGTCTTGCTGTCAACAGATGTTGGTGGCATCTCTATCTCAGCAGTGGCTTAGATCTGGCTTGCTTGCCTGTTACTGTGTTCTATTAATTTTTGGGGGTTTTGTTTGATTGGTTGTTTGGTTGGGTTTGGTTGAGATTTGTTTTGAGGTTGGGGTTTTTCCCTCTTTTTTGTGGTTGCTTGTTTTCGTCTGGTTTCTTGGTTTTAGTTTTGAGGGATTTTGGAGGAGGCTTGATTTTGTTGGTGTGGATTGTTTTGTTTAATTGGGTTGGGTCTTTTATGTGTCCTTTGGTTTGTTGGGGTTCTTTTTGTTTGATTGGTTTGGGGGGTTTTTTGTTTTTTGTTTTTTGTTTTTTGTTTTTTGTTTTGTTGTGGTTTTTTGGTTTGTGTTGGTTGGTTGCTTGCTTTGTTTTGGATTTTTTTTGGTTTTTTTGTTTGTTTTTCCTTTGGTTGAGGGTTTTTGTTTGGGTTTTTGGGAGGGATTGTTGTTTTTTGATGGTTTTGTTTTGTTTATTGTTATTGTTGTTGGGTTTTTGTTTGTTTGTCAGAAGTGGTTTTTTTCTACTTTTCTGAACACCTTATCCTGTCTGCCACTTCTTGAACTCCACTGGAGAAGTTTTTAGCCCCTTTGTCTTCTTCCTACCCCACAGCTAAAGTTGCCTGCTGCATTATTGAATATTTTTCCAGCTTAGTTTAACTCCAAGAGAAATAAGGAGTCTGTCCTCCTGAAAATTCAGTGTGAGCATCCATTTAAGGCACATTTAAAATGCTGAATTTTGAGTTACACAGGGCTGAGTCAGGCAGAAATGTCCAAGTCTTCGGCATGCAAACATTTCATTTTCACCTTCAGAAACAAGATCTGAGTGACCAGTGCAAGGTCTGTGTGCACTGGTTTTAATTTAGTACTGGTATCCTGAGCACAGTACATTCCAGGGGTGTTTGTGCTGCAGGAGAAGGGGAAGAAGAAATTGCCAAGAAGTCGAGGAGAAAGGGATGTGTGCTATAAGAAATGGAAGTCCAGCAATTCCTAATTAAAAAAAAAAACTAGAAAATACAAGTAAAACTAGTTCAAAAACTAAATGTCAGGTATTCTGGAAATGACAAGGGAAGTGGTGAATAAACACGTGGCATAAAGTTTCTGCTGCTTGAGTTTGTGTCTTTCAGAATCTGGTGCTCAATAATGTGTGGGGGGACTTTAAAACTGATCCCACTGTCATGAAAAGCTGAGAGTATTTAACATATTTTCATTAAAATGTAGGACAGAATTTTTTTGTTGTCTTGAAGCATCTTGGTGGAACCTTTTTGTGGATGAACAATATACAGCTACTGGGGAGGGAGAAGTTCAGTCACTGACAGAAAAATGAGAATATTTAAGTTTGTAATGGTAACATTTTTGTGGTAAACCAAACCATAGGAATTACTTGAAATCTGCTTGTCACTGGTTGCAGTTCCACTTGGCTGTAAGGGGAATACATAGGTACATCCATATTTACAGTATATAAGCCTTGTAAGCTTGGAAGGAGCAGGTTTTTTATTCCTATTTTTAATTACTATTACATAATATTAGTATGCTGTTTCTGCGCTTAAGACATGACTGAATTGAGAGACAGTTCAGATTTCCATGTCCTTGAGCTGCACAGCTGTAAATAAAGTTGAGTTTGGTTTGCTGGAGGAGACAAGTCAAACCCAGCGTCCTCACTGGAGTGGCTGCACTTGGTTGACCTTTGTGGAAATGGTTGAAATTCTAATTTCCTGACACTTCTGCTGTTTCACCAGGGCCTGGCCACACGCACAGCCCTTTCTCTTTCTTATCAGAGGTTCTCACCATCAGACAGTGCACAAAGGAGCCTCCCTCTTCTATAGCACATCATTTCAAGTATCTTTTTATTAATCTATTCACAATTGTTATTGAACTTTCTTCTCCAGTTTGTAAACCCTCTGTACTTTAAATTGCTTTCTAGCACTGCTTTGAGTGTGTGTTTATGTAGGTTACATTATTTCAGCTTTCATCTGATGCCAGGATGTGAAAGGTTTCATTAATTTTTTGATGTAAGATCATAGGAAAAATTCCAGTAGTAATTATTGGTAAAATAATTGCAGTTTCTCCGCTTGCTATTGCTAGTCTAAATCAGTCTTTTTGTCCCTGTGCTCAGTCACAGCATACTTTTATCTCTTCATTTTCTTCTGGAGCTGTAGGTACTCCTGCTTGCCAAAGCCATCCTCTTCATCTTCTGTTTAGTCAGATATTTGTGCCTTTTTCCTGTCAATTTGCCACTCATCTTCTTAGATTTCTAGGCTATTGCCACACTTCGGGGTGGGATGAACAGAAAAGTTAAATGTTTTTGCTCCAGTACCACTCAATTATCAGCCTTATCTGTGGGCTGTGAGGAAGCTCAGGAGTAGCCAAGAGCCACCAGAGCCTCACAAGGTGTGGATGGTGTGCCAGATTTGGGGATAAATTGAGGTGTGAGAGAGGAGATCCAGTGTGTGAGCAGGGAGGGATGGCAGGAGTGCAGCACCGAATAGACATGGCAACTGAGAACAGCAAAATTCTAAATATTTGCATCATGAACTGGGAATCTGTGCCCCTGCAGGTTAAATTTTGTTTGCTTTTTATTCGTATGAAAAAATGAATGAAAGGTGTTTGTGTATTATTTCAATCTTTCCTTACCTCTGAACTCTCCCAAGAAAATTTTTGTTTTCTATTGCTCGGTTCCTATCTTTCCCCCTTTTCCAGTGTAAAGTACAGATGTCTGATTATGGTTTATTCCTCACTATTAATGCATTAAGTTTTCTATATTTTGCACTTGTAAGCACTGAAACAAAACATTAAATCATTTTTTGGCTGCGAACCTCTGAATTTCTGTAATTCCGCTAAGCATTGTTAGCAGTGTTCAGGCTGGATGGGTGTGAGGGTGGCATTTGCAGGGTGGGTGGGATTATTCAGCAGTGTTCCTTTTTGTCCCTGCAGCCTTTCATGTCGCCCCGGTACCCTGGAGGTCCAAGGCCACCTCTCAGAATACCCAACCAGGTAAGGCTGGCCGAGGGTGAGGGTTCCATCCCTGTGTTACTCAATTCTGTGTCAAATGCATCATCAGTCTCTGCCCATCTCTGCTGGACATACAAATTATATTTATTTCACAGTAAATATGGGGGTTATTGGTGAGAAAGTGCTCTGTGGCTCCTACAGACACTGTGAGCACTTTCTAAAAGCACTGAATTCTCGATTTTCTCTCATCTCCATCAAAGGATGTGCAATGCCAGGAGACAAGGATGAGTAATGAGCTGCTGTTCGTCAGCAGGGACCTTTTTTGGTCCATCTGTGAGAAGAGGGTTCTGGAAGTAGAGAACATTTGTGTTTTCAACTTCTCCATAGTGCAGATAGAGGAGGAGAAAGAGTTGTCAGCAGATGAAAAGTTAAAGACAAGCAGACAAAAAAACATCAGTAGAGCTCTGAGAGGAAAACTAGGTCATTTACAATATTGGGAAAGGTAGAAAGGATAAATGGAATAGGTAGTTTGGTTCAGCTTTGGCTTCCAGGGCTGCCTTTCTGTTGTCACACTATACTACAGCCCCATTTCTGCCTATTTTTTGTATTTTTGTAACACAGTTTCAACAAATTTGTTGATACTTCTGGCATACTGTCACCAGAAGGTATGAAATCTAAATTTCAGTGAGCTGGATGTATCAGGTGGCAAGACTTCTCCAGGTATTGCTCTACCTGGTGATGTTTGGGATCAGATTAAGTTACTTGTACCAGGGCTACTTTCTCACCAGGCAGAGGGGGACTTAATTAACCTTGATGAAGTGATCGCCTGTGCAGTGCCATTAGTACTGCACTTCATATTTGATAACTTTTTACTGCTGTAACTCAGTGCATTCCTGGTTTTTGCACTTCCCAATACTATCTTAGGCAGAGGTGTCTGAGCCTCTGAGCCAAGTGTTTGGGTTTCACACCCTCTGTGCCTGAGCTCAGTGAATCCTGGCAGGTGGGATGTGGTGGCTGGAAGCCCTGCCAGCCTGCAGGTTTGGTTTCAGGAGTGTTTTTGTCTGCACACTGTGATATGTTCAGTCCAGAGTGGAAGATAATCACAAAACCCAGTGGATTGCAGCTCTTGCTACGTTCACATTATGCCAAGTTCACGAGTTGCTGCTTTAGCAGCAGTGATGGGCAGGGTGTGCAATAACCTATTGTGCAGCTTTAAGGCTCATATTTTGATTAGGTGGTAGTTTGGTCCTGGGATTGTGGAAAGGGTCCCTGCCCATGGCAGAGGGGTTGTAAGGAGATGGGCTTTAAGGTCCTTTCCAACCCAAACCATTCTGAGATTCTGCTCACTCAGAATATGTTTTTACTGAAAATGTGATGGTGCTTTGAAATGCTAAATAGCACATCATGGATCAGCTACAAAGATCCATTCATAAAAGTGTTCTTATGCTTGACCCAGCTACAGGTAAAATCCTGTAAAAATGAGCTTTAAACCTAATTCAGTAAACCCAGAGGGCAGATTAACGTGAGGATTTAGAAGCATGTTAACTCTTGACTCGGAGGAAACATCCAGGAATTGGGAGTGAAACGTGTGTGCTGTGTGTTTACCATGAATTTGAAGGCATTCTCTGGTTTGATGCTGTGTTTTCCCTGCCTCAGGCCCTCGGAGGTGTCCCGGGGAGTCAGCCCCTCCTGCCCAGCGGGATGGACCCCACACGGCAGCAGGGTGAGTGTGGGACCTCTCCACGGTAGCACCTTCCTGCTTTTCTGTTAATTACAAAGAGATGATCCATTAATACTCGCTGTAGAAGGTGCTTGTGTCTTGCATCATTGAATCAGTTGTGTATTGCCTATATGAATATAATGTATTCTATATTTTATTTGCAGGTCATCCAAACATGGGTGGGCCGATGCAGAGGATGACTCCTCCAAGGGGAATGGTGCCATTAGGACCACAGGTATTTTCTACAGATGGGTTATCCTTAGTGACATATACTTAGTGTATGTTCTCAGTCTTTGCTTAGCTTAAAGATGCCCTGGACTTGTTTTCATAATCTCTTTTTCAAACAAACCTCCCATTTTACAAAAAAAATCCATTCTGGGTTGCAGCTGTACAAAATTGAAATGAAAAATCTGTTATTTTCATTAATATTTGGAATTAAAAGAGGAATCCCCTCATTTGCTTTCTTTAGAAAAGTGTATATTGTAATCAAAGACTGACACAGGCAAGGGACACCAGAAGTGGAGTAGGTGTTTCCTCCTCCTCCTCACTGATTATCCTGTTTAGGAGTAAAACATTAATACCCTCTAACTTTGCCAAAAATACCTCTCCAAATTCTGTAAAGTTTTCTTTCATCCACTGCTGACCCAAATTTTGGGGTGTGCAGCAGGGATTTTAGTGTGAAGTGAGACATCCACGTTGCCATTTGTCCCCATGCCCACCTCGAGCATCCGTGTGGCTCTATCCCAGCAGAGCTCCAGGGCAGGGGACAAACACAAATTCCCCCTGGAACCCCAGTGCAGGAGGCTCCTCTGTGTTCTGCCAGCACTGCCAGGGAGCAGCACGTGGCTGCTGGTGTTCCTCACTGGTGCTGCCCGTGTTTTGTTTCACAGTGTGCTCGTTGTGCCCACACTGTGCATTTTTGCTTTTCCCTTTCAGATAATCTCTCTGGTGGCTTCTTGTTTGAATAACAACTAAATTCTAAATGGTTGAATGGCTTTGCCTTCCAAGTCTGTTCACAACTGTGCAATTTTGGGTCTTCTTGACAAAGGCCAGTTGTGCAGCTCTTCACAACCTCTGCTGAGTGGCCAACCAAAACATTATTAAATATATTTCCTATTTTTTTATTAAATATATTTTCTATTTTTTACGTGGCCCTGAAATGGATTTGCCATTTTTGGAGGTGGAAAGAGAAGCTCTGCTGTGCTGCCATATGAGATTGAGCTGATCCTTTATGCAGCACCATTAGTCACACAGCAGGCAAACCTCATGCCACTTTTTATGAGGATGATTTTTCCATTTTTGCTGTCATTTAAGATCCAGCGTTTTTGTAAGCTTCTTTTTGCTAGTGCACAACATCCTAACCTACACAAAATTTAAGTCCAGAAAATTTAAATTCACAAATAACTCCAGAATTGGATCACCAAATACCTGGGCCACCAGGCTCTGCAGAGAGCATAACTGCTCTGGAAGGACATCTGTATGGGTGGCCCTAATGGCAGTGCTGTTATTTAGGGCAAAGGAGTACATCTGCTTAGGATTAGCAGTAATTACTGTTGGAAGTTAGATGGTCAGGTGAGACAGATTGTTCTGCTTCTATTCCACTGAACAAAAACAAGTGTAATTTATTTTTTTGTGTAAGTAGTGCAGTCAAACTTTGGTCATGATAGCAGGGCATAAACTCACATTTTATGGGTGCTGGGAATTTGTTAGCATTGCTAGGACATTGATTACAATATTAAATACTGCTCATTTTGATTATTACAGACCTGGGATAGTGGAAAGTGTCCCTGCCAAGGGTGGGCTTTAAGGTCCCATCCTGGGATTCTGTGATTATTAGAATTCAATAATGGAAAGAGAAATATAATGCTACATTAGAAAACTTATATAATGTGGTTTAATTTTATACAAATGTAATGAAATCAAGGTAGAAATAATACCATTTGATATCTCAGAATCTTTTGTAGGGGGTTCTGATGTTTAATTGCCTTGGTTTAGAAGTGGAATTCATTATAAAACCTGACCCTTGCTGGCCATTAACTTGAGCTCAATATGTGTAAATAATAAAATCCCCCCTGAAACCATGTTAACCATTCTTAGCCAATTCCTGTTGTTTGTACTGTTTCTCCTTGGGGTTAATGATGCCATTTTTTAGTCACCAGTCAGGGAAGCCTGAAAGCATGAATGGCATGGCCTGTCCTGGCAGCAGTTGCACAGGGATGTCATTAACCTGCTGTCCTTTCTTTCCCCCTCCTCTTTGGTTTTGTTTTTTTGTTTTGTGGTAGTCTGACCCTTGGTTGTCGTTGCAGAACTATGGAGGTGCCATGAGACCCCCTCTGAACGCTTTAGGTGGCCCGGGGATGCCTGGGATGAACATGTAAGCACAACATCAATCCTACTGTACCTAGAAAATGCCATTATTGCATTGCAGAAGGAGCAGTTGGGATAGAAAAGGCAAGGAGAGCATGCTTTGATGACCAGTAAATGCCATTTTAAGATGTGAACCCACATTCTGACAGGAGTCTCAGCTGTCCTAACAAGTCTGTACAAATGCTCAGTTTCTTTCACAGATCAGCCTTCAAATACTGGGAATATTTTGTCAATATAATCACTGATATATCCTTGTTATATAGTTTTAAAAATGAGTTTATAGTATATTTCTACTTACTAAATATCTTGCAAGGAACATTTTTTTCTCTGCAAAATAAATCAGTAGTTAATTGTAGCAAAATAGCCTCTGTCTAGAACTATTTATAAGAAAAAGAAAGACACAATTGATTTGAAAGTCTTCCTAACCTGCAGTTCTTATTTCCTTGACTACATTTATTTCCAGTCTAAACAGATAGAGGAGCTTTACAGATATGAGAGTATTTTTGCCAGTGTTTCTGTGTTTTTCTGGGTCTGTAAAATGGTCTGGTAAAAATGGATATAATCTGAGTTCAGATTTATTCCAGACATGGATTTAGCCATGGCAGGGTGTTGCACCTTGGATCCCTGAAAACAACCCCCTTTTTAAGTGTGCAGAAATACTTCTGATCTAACATTAAGAAGGCAGTAAAGATTTCTGTATGTTCTTCTCATTATATCATAGATACTCATTTTTATTCTAGTTTCTATAGAAAATGTAAATAAGAAATGACAATTTTAATTTCAAGTAAAAAAGTTATCGCCCTGAAGAAGTCAAAGGGGTACAGAAAGACATAATGTAATTTTAAAAATCCACCCTAGCTCTAAGTGGTTTAGATTTCCAGACATACATTGAATTCTTGAAGCAAATAAATAAAAATCTGAAGTTGTGTGCTGCTCTGTCATGGACATCACATATGGGGATTTAAAGACAATTCTAGGAGCCTTCCTGAGGCTAGGAATTTATGTTTTTCAATTAAATTGATGTGGAAAAATATTTAGACATTTGAAATTCAGTGTGAGTCGAGTATAAGCATTGTAGAGGTTTTATACAGCAGAAGGCTGAATTACAAAAAAAAGGAAATTAACTTTCCAGAAGTAAAATTGAGAGATAGATAAGATATTTGGAAACTATTTATTCACACAAATGAGAGTTTGCACAGGAAAAATAAGAAAAGAGTTTCCTGGGTGACAGAAAGATTTCCCAGCCTAGTAGAAAGAGAGAAGATGAAGTACTAATGCTGCTGGGTTTCATAAGCACATTTTATCAAAAGGGTTGCTCTGAGTTGAGATTCTTTGAATTGTATTTTCAGGACATGAGGGTGTTTTCCTACTGTCCGTTTCCTGCTGTCTCTGGAGTTGCAGTGAGGGCTCAGAGTCAGGGCTGGGGGCAGTGGCAGAGGATGGACCCAAATTTGTCCCCTCACCCTTTATCCCAGTGCAGGAACAGCAGTGTGGGTCACCTGTGGAAACCACATTTCAACTCTGCAGAAGGCTGTCCCTTCATACCTGACTGTTTTCTTTACCTGACAATTTTCCAGCGTTCTGTTCTTCTTTTTCTTGGATTTTTGGCAGTGTCAAGTACAGAAATGTGTGCTCCCCAGAAACAGCTGCCGTTTAAAATCCAGCTTCTCCTCCTTGGAACGTGCAGAGGGAAGCTGCTTTGGTTAGGAGCAGACTATCTGCCAAATAAAATGTTACCGTTTTTCTGGGTGAGAAAGCCTTCTTTGTGGTCAGAAATGGCAGCTCTTGAGGCAGCATTTCAGTCCATACAATCCACAAACGCTGGGTAAATTCCCTGCTTTGTCATCAGTGACACCATCACATTTCTGTCGGACACAGCTGATGCCCAACCCGTGCTCTTCCACAGAATAACTTCATTTTAGCTGTAAGCTTCTCAGTTTGGAACTTGGCACAGCCATTTTTAGGAAGATCTCATGTTTCTGCCAGTTTTTGGAACAAAAAGGCAGATTTCAGGGAGCAGTGTTACATTTCACTGGTGATTTTTAACACCCTGTGTGACCTGCAGTGCTGTCTCTAGCACTAAGAATATCTCAGTCTCATGCCTCAGGTTTAAAAAAAAAGGAAGGAAAAAGGTGTGATTTTGTCTTTTAACTTCAATTCACAAACTTGAGTCTAGATATTTCATTTCCTGATGGAATATATTTGCCTCTTGGAAAACTAAAATTTCAGACTTTTCTTTTTTCAAGCCAAGATTGACACTTACAGGACAAACTCTAAAAAAATTGGTCATTCCAACAAATACTTTGTGAAGTATTTTGGAATCAGTGCTTGTATGGTTATGTTTTATGGCTTTGTTGGTGCTTCCAAAATAAATACTTAATAAAAGACAAAAGACCTGCTTGCATGGAATTGGGGGGGAAAAAAGCCATTTGGGGGGTTTTATATGTGTTTTATAAGCATTTGGCTCCACAAAATCCATGTGGCTTTCCAGCAGAATCTGCTGCAGTGATTTCTAAGTCTATACTGAAAGCAGTCCAATAAATCTGAAAATTTCAACAGCTTTTAGAAGAAAGGTGAGTTCCCATGTCTCAGTCTAAATTTCTGAGTTTCCATATTCCTGTGGTTTAACCCAGTTGTGTCTCTGAGTCAGTACATTTTGCAGAAAAGAGTGCAAGGGTTTGGGGTTTAAGTGTTGTTGCAAATATTACAGATTTTTCTGAAAGAGAGGATCCAATAAACCAATGAAAAATAAAAAAAAATAACAACAAGAGGAAAAAAACCCAAAACTGTTAATATTTCTCCATGTGATCATCAGCAGAGGAGAACTTGCTGAATATTTCACCTGAGGAGCATTTTCTTGCTCAGTCTTTCATTGAATGAAGCAGTAAAGACCATATCAACATTCTTGATTTCCAGCATTCCGACAATAAAGGCAGTGGAAACAAATTTTCTGTTGATTCTTTTTTTTTTTTTTGAGATAGTTCCTTTATAGTTTCATCAACAATGTAATAAAAAAATAAGATTCAATATTAAATCCCTCAGGCAGTATATCCACTTAGTAGTTCTTATTTCTGCAAGACTTAGAAAACTTCCAGAACTCATTAATAAAGGGTGATTCTTTCTCTCTAAGTCTCTCTCCCATGCCTGGTGAGCTGCAGTGGTTAATGTTGCCTTTCTTCAGCTAATGAGGCCAAAATGCCATTGAAAATGTGAAAGTTCTGTCATCTGCTCTGCCTCTCCGTTGTCAGGGCCTTCAAAAAATGATTCAGTCTTGTTTATAAACAAACAGGAGCTCTTGGTGCTATTAGAAATCAATATAAATTAATAATTAGAAATAATTATGGGTTTGAGACATTGTGACTGTAACATGGAGATTTTACCTCTGCTGTGTCCGAGTCCCCTCTGGATTGTTAAAAGATGAAGCCTCACCCTCAAACTATTTTTCTGGGTTTAGCTGAGAGTGAGAAACTTAAAATAACAGCAAAACCCCTGAGGGTTTTCTGGGTTTAATACATCAAATTTATTATCATGGCTGTTGTTGTTATCATCATGGTCATTATTATCATCATCCTCATCACCATACAGGGATCATAGCAACACATTTTGTATGGCTGGTGCTTTTATAAATTAAGTGTTCCCAAAACATTTATTAGGTAATTGCACAACTATACTGCAGTGTTCTAGATCCACAGTAAATGAATGCATTCTCAGTACTTCAGGCATGTGCTTCATTATGTGAGCAAGATTACTGGTTTCATGGCTGAACATTTATTTATTTTATGACTTAAATTTATTTTCTGAGTAGTGAATAAATTAATTCACCAAGTGATTGAATAGAAGTGCAACAACAAAAATTCTGGTCTTGCATTGTAACTTGGTGTATTTATGGTTTGTAAACACACTTTAGTTTGTAAAAAGCCATTTCCTTCCTCTGGAAACAGGTTATGCAGGTTTTTTCCTCAGAGCTGGTCAGAGGATGGGGATGGTTCTGTGCCTCATCATTCTTCTTCTGTTTCAGGGGTCCTGGGGGTGGTAGACCTTGGCCAAACCCAACCAATGCCAATTCTGTAAGTAAACATTACCAATATATTTGACATCTTCCTGTATTTAGGGAAGTACCTTCATGCCAGGCCCTGCACTGTCGTAACATAAAGGCTGTCCTGGGATCCTGCATGAGCAGCAGTGTCTGGTATTTCTCCAGAAAGCAGAAAATCTTCATTTTCATTCTGGGATCATATATCATTAGTTTTAAAATGTCCATTTTTGGCACTTGCAGATGGATAAGGTGGGTCTGGCTTGCCCTCCTAAACAGTTCATCCTGGTTTTCTCAATTTTGACTTTTTAATTCTATTAGTGAAATTCTTCTTCAATTTTCTTTTGATTAATATGGATATTTTTAAACTGATCGTTAAAGTCTTTTCAGTTCCTGAAGTCAATTGGCAAGTTCAGAAGCAGATTTATTTGTAACAATCATTTGGCTGAAAAGTTGTCTGTAGAGACATTTGTGTTTGTCAGTACAGTTCCTGCTCCCAGAACAGCCCTGGCCTGTATTCCTTTGGAGGGAATAACAGCAAAGGCAGTAACAGAGAAGAAAACCAGATTATTCACAGGATTTCTCTGCACACTGTACTTAAATAAATAAATAAATAAATAAAAATTGAAAATAAATACCAGTACTTCCTAAGGTGAAAGATGTGGTAGCTTCTTTTCCTTTTATGGTGAAGATTGTAATCAAAATAACATGCAAATTCAGTGCATGCTTGGCTGACTCTGAAGTCCTGTGCACTGCAATGCAAGTATGTCCTGCCTGAGTTCATAGACCTTACAAACTACATTGCCTTAATAATCTTATACCTTAACACGTTATTATTTTTACAGTCGATATTTTAGAATTGCTGAAAAGAGGTGTTTACTTTGCCGGCAGAGGCGTTTCCCCCATGATTTTAGCTGTGTCTTTAGTTCCCTTACATTGAGTGAGCAGTGAGCTGCCTGGAGCCCACCCCAGCACAGAGGGAATCACGGTTTTTTTTTCTGTTGGTGTTACAGATACCTTACTCCTCGGCCTCTCCTGGCAACTACGTGGTGAGTGCCTTTGTGTGTGTTCACTGGGCATCTCCTCTCATCTGGGCAGAGCAACAGCAGCCCAGATGTTGGGGGAAGCCCCTGTGCTGGCTGGGCGCTGCACATCTGGCCTGCTCCGAGGTGCCCCAGCCACCTCTGGTGCAGATGTGGGTGTTCGTCACCAGGACCATTGTCAGCCTGATCCAAATTGCCCTCGGAAAACATTTATGTTCCTAATACAATGTATTGTCTGCGGTAATGAAGGACAAAAAGCCCCTTGGCTTTCTCAGAAAAACAACGTTGTGTGAGAGCTTCTGAACTTCTGCAGGAAAAAAGTTTATCTGTAGTGCTGGGTTTTGTCTTTGTCACTAGAGATTAACTTTGTTTATTATTTTAGATTCTTTATTGTCGTTGGTGTTGCTGTTGCACTCAGGTTATTTGTATAGCTGAGGAGCTCTCCTAAGGCAGATTGTTTGGTCTGCTTTTTTGACGTGCACAGGGCTGGTGTCACAGATTGAGAGGGGAGGATTTTATAATTAAAAACAATTTATTTGGTCCTTTATTTAGACAATTAGCTGTGGAAAGGTAATGATTCTTGCAAGTGTCTGTAACTACAGGCCTTGTTTTGTCACAGCTTAGTGGAAATAGACAGTTTGCTGTGTCCAAATCAGTTATTTCAAGGCAAAACTTAAGAGACCTTTCTGTTTGGAGGGGGTTTTGTGGGTTTGCTACATTCTGGGAATATGAACATTTTGGGAATATTTGACTTCACAGAGAGCAAATGTTTGGGGATGAAGGTTGGGCTGGAGAGTTCCTAAAAGACTTATTTTGTGAAAAGATTTGTAATTACTGGAATTACTCACTTTGAGAACCTAATAAAATTAATCTATACATAATATATTAATATATACTAACACATAAACTTATCTAGTAATATATAAGTATATATAATATGTATAAATATACAAATATATACTCTTTATACATAAACAAATATGTATAATAAATATTCTTGGAGTGAAAATAGTTGATACCAAGAAACTCTGTAAGACAAGAAAAAACACAATGAGAGAAAAATCAAATTTTAAAAGAGATGCAAAAGTTAATGAAGACAAGTAACTTTTCTCATAAATTATCCTTTAGTTGTTCCTGCCTGTCTTTATGTGATGTTGAATAATATGCAGAGAGAGCTTTTAAAAGCAATCAAGTAGGTGAGCTTAGTACACAGGTATATGGATAAAATGTATATGGAGAGCCTGTGAGGCCTAGGGAGTCATATGGGATGAATGAAATGTGGGTATAAATTTGTGGATGAAAGTTTATAGGAAAAAGTATGTGGACAGATATCCTGTAAGCAGACAGAACAACCAGACCCTTGTAATCACTGCCACTGAAAATGCTTCCCTGTCTGAAACAGAGTATCTCCTGTTTTAAATCATAACAAAAGAGATAAAGTGCAGTAATAGTCATGTGGCAATGAAAATAATAATTATTACTAGCACTCAATGTATGTTTGATTTTGGAAAGTCAGTATTTATTGACTTTGATTGATGTAGGCATTTTTACCAAAGTGAAAATTGGTAGTTTTTCATACTACCTCAAAGGTTTCAACAAACGTAGGAAACAAGATACTATGTTTCTGTTTTTACTAAAGGATTAGGATGATTAGAATAAAATTCCTGGAGAAGTCTTAAAGAATCCTTAAACTCGTGTTTAACAGCCAGAGCATTTTGTGTTTCTTAGTCTTGGTCAGATTCGTGATATGGAAATACCCAAAACTTTAAAAAAAAAAAAAAAAAAAAAAATTATGTTCCTTGATGTGGGGGCGGTTTTTGTGTGTCTGCTTTAGGTATTTTTTAGCCTTTTAATTCATGCTAACTGACAATTTCTGCTCTCCCCAGGGTCCTCCAGGAGGTGGAGGGCCACCAGGAACACCCATCATGCCTAGTCCTGCAGGTACTGAAATGTACTAGGAAATAACAAAATTATAAGGGATCTTAGGAAGTATGCTAATTATTTTTTAATAAAGAGTCAGCTAACTAATTTATTTGGTCTATATTTTCTGTATCAGTTTTTTTTCCCTATTTGCTCACTTCTCCAGCACAGGCGGGTAGGGAAGTTTCCTAACTGGTCATAGAAACCTACTGCTATAATAAGTATAATAACTTCATTGAATACAATTCCAGGGATTTAAATAAATACAAATAAAAATGAAAACCAAAACAAGTAAAACCCCTTGAAAATGAACAAATTAAAAAAGGCAACCTAAGGTAAAGATATTTTGAAGTTCTGTTTTCCAAGGCATGAAAACACTTAGAAATTGGCCACCTGTGAGTTTTGCCTAGGAGTTTACTCACCTCTGAACCAACAGCTCAAAGATTCCACAGCCCAACCATCCCCTGTGTGTTCTGACATGACCCAGCAGAACTTGGGGACAGCTGGGGATATGTGTTGAAAAAGGATCTGGTGGATAAAGAACTTTTTGCCTGCCTCATTGAATATGAAAAATAAATTTAGAGGCCAATTTTACTTTAGGCTAAAAGCTTTTCTGTTCCCCATTTTCCCAGATGGAATCTTTGAATATTCTAATGATACGTAGTGCTCTGTATATAATGGAATTATTTGCTTAGATTAATGCTTAGAAAATCATCTAGGAAATATTAATTAGTAGAGAAAACCCTTAATTTGTCTTCCTGTTGTACACAGACGACCATTGGGTGTGGAATGGGCTTGTGGAGGGTCTGGGTGCAGAGTGCTGAGCTCTTTTTATTCTCTGTGCAGGTACTGATTTTCCAGAGTTGCCAGGTTTTTTTTTTTAATCACACAGTCCCCTTAGGGATGTATACAGACTTATGTCAGGTCATTCTCCTTTCGTTTTTAGTCATTTTGGGGGTTTTTGCAAGCATGGCACCAGGCTGTACCATAAAGATACATCAGCTAAAGCCTCCCTCAGGAGTGAAGGATTTTGGCACAGTGTTCCACTGAAGACTTGGATATACTCAAAATCATATGAACTTGACAGGGATGAGGGTGAAAAACTGTAACTGTCAGTCTGTGCAAGGAGAAGCTTTTCATCATTTATTACAGATGGAAAACAAATTACAGGAAGTATTGATAACAAACGAACTCCTGTTCTATGGATAATATTGAAGATGAGCAAAGAAATTTAGAACTCCAGGAAACAGGGTTTTAGGAATTAAATCGTTTCAGCTTCTTGGTGATTTATAAACCTTTTAACAGCCATGCATAAAACTAGAGCCCAGAAGTAGTCACTTGGGGACCTTGGCAATTATTTCTTTTCATAGCCCTGTTGTGTGGCAGCAAGGGATAGAAAGGGAATAAAATCTGCCATTGTATTGCCACTGTGTGTGGGATTGAGGCAGTAATAATATGAACAAAATGACAGGAAATGTATGAGGTGAGTAGTTTTACTGAAAAGTGTATTTTAGCTCTTAAAATAATCTCTTATTACAGATTCAACCAACTCTGGAGACAACATGTACACTTTAATGAACGCTGTGCCACCTGGGCCCAACAGACCTAATGTAAATATGAATCTACTTACATCTTTCTTTGAGTAGTGCAGCCTTTTGTGTATCCAAACACTGCCTTTCCAGCAGCTATCATTATTGCTAAGCTTTCCATTTTTATGGGTGGCTCTTCAGTTATGAGCCTCTGGAAAAAAAAAAAAAAACACCAGTAGAACTTAGAAATAAATATGTGTCGATTTCCTAAGTCATTATGCAGTAAACTGCAGATTGTTTGGCTATAATGGTAATGTCTTTTAAATGTGTGAAGAGCTAAATTTAAGGTTAATTATGTAATTGGGCAGAAACTGCTCAAGTTGTGGAGGTGATGAGGAGCTTTCTGACTTAGGATAGGTCAGATGGGGTTTGAAAGCTGTTAATTAATAACTGATGGATTTAAGAGAGTTATAAAAGATCCCTATAGCTTCAGTGGGGATAGGGCCGAGTTGCCAGCAGCAGTCTGAAAAGTCAAACAAAAAACATTGACGTAAACAATAAATTATTACTGTGTTGGATTCCATCCTAAAGAGACAACAGTCTCCAAAAATCATGAAATTGACCAAAAAAATTCTGGTTTTTCCGTCCTCACCAGAGACCTTCTCTTAAAGGTCTGAATGGGACTTGAGAGTCTCTTCTCATTCAGACCTGAGGATTTGTCCTTACTTTTTTTTTCCCTTCTCCTGAGGAATATTTTCTCTTTATTATGTTGTGTGAAAAATAATTGTACAGTTTTTAATGGCTGCTCCTTTTGTAGTTTCCACTGGGGCCAGGCTCAGACGGACCCATGAGCGGACTGGGTGGAATGGACTCACATCATATGAATGGATCATTAGGTAACAGGAACAGTAAATATTGCCAAATTGCCAGTGCCAGTGCTCTTTCTGTGGCTAATTCTTGGAGTTCTGTGGAGGACAGTTCGTCAAAATGTATGGGAAAAGTCATATAAACATCAGTAAGATGAAGGGAATTATTGAAGAGGCTGTGGCAATGAAAGAAAAGTCACTGAAGCTAAGTGAGGTTCACTGTCATTGTGAGCAGTGACAATTCGGCATAGGCATCTGTCTCCTAAAGAGAATTATTTTCTTTTAGGCAAGCATGTCCCTGAAATTTTAGGTTACTTTTTGTAGGGATACTTTAACAGCTTTTCTCTACCTGTTACAGTCCTGAAATGGGTGGTTGGTTTAACTGCTAACGATGCACATTGCACTCAAATCAATGAAAATCTGTGTGAGAGGCAGCCACACCTTTTCCTGTCGCTTTCTACAGCTTGAGAATTTTTTCTCCTTAGCTAAAATGAAAAATTAAATTGCAACAGTTATGGGAGGATTTTACATGTACCTAGCACGTAATTTATCCTTTTGGGCAAAATAACTTCTGGTAACATCTTTGTATCTGACATTTTTAGAGAGAGAAATCATATTCCTTCTCAGCTCTAATTTGCCTGGCTGTATGAAATAGCTGTTACAGTCTTCTCCCACAGCTCCCACATTTCTGACTGTTTTCCTGTGATACTCTTCTAGTTTTGTACTCAGTACTCTTCCAAAATTTGTCTTTCCTGAAAATACGTGTCTTTTGCTGTTGAAAAAAATGGTTTTCTGCATTCATCCGTCCTAAAATTGCATTTCCTTTATTCTCTGCTTTACCTGAAGTGAGAGCTACAGCATGTGAAAAACACCCTCAATTAATTTTCAATAGTCTTGCACACATTTTATTTAATTTTATTTGATTTCCATTACTCTGCTCATCAGGATCATCTGTTTTCTTCTAAGAGATACTCAGTACATGTAGTGCAGCCAAAGCTGATGGAGCCTCAGGTTGATTGAGTGGATTATTCTGTATCAACTGCAAACTTTTACTAAGTTGGTTATTTTTTTTAAATGTTGATATTGCACTTTTTATTTTCTATGAAAAAATTATTAGATTAGCTTCAGCTCAAAAGTAATTGAGCAATTTTCTCTTTTAATTTCAGGCTCAGGAGACATGGACAGTATTTCCAAAGTGAGTATCTAATAAAATATTTGGAATTTTTAGACTTTCACTCTCAATTAATTTCCTTTGTCTCCATTACGAATATTTTTGTTATGCATCTTTATTGTATCATATTTATATTTTATATAATTACCTGCAGTTCATAAACTGATTGATCATGTTGTAGTCTTTGATACTCTTAAAATAAATTAAACCAGTTCTAGTAATCAGTTCTAGTCAAATATAAATTTGGGACAATCTCCTTAGGGTGTCACAGGATTGGGTTTGTCACCTCTCTAAGGTGATGTTCCTATCTTAATCCTCAGGATAAATTTCTGAACACTCAATTAAGAAGTCGTTTCAGAAGACACTGTTTTGATATCACAACCATTAACAAGTGGAAAAGGATGTGAGTTTAATCTGCAGGGATTTTGCATCTACAAAAATAATAATGTGTCACGTCCGTAAAAATAAAACTGCTATGGATGTGATCATCATTAACTCGGCAGTTAATTAGCTGATGTATTGGGAAAGGGGCATAAATAAAGAGGACCCTGTGTTCTTCAGTTCTATAACATTTTCAGAGTCTGCACAGTGTAACATGATGGATGGAAAAGACCACGTTGCCTCAGTTGTGCTGTGCTGGGATTCAGTACAACCCTCCTGTGAGATGACCAGCACACAGCACGTTTTTAATCAAAGTCTATGTTTCTTCTTCAGTATTCTACTACAAACTGCAGCACTTTTTAAGGGAAAAAAGCCAAAACATTTTCATTTCCATGGGATAATTTTTAAAGCCAGTATTCCACGTACAGCTGTTCAGTATGTGCTGGTACAGGTATCAGCAGCTCTGAAAACTTGGGTCCCAAACAATTTACCTGGAAGTCTTGTAATATGTTAATGTGCATGAATAACTCATGACAATTACATTTGATCTACGTGTTTTTAAATAACTGAAAGAAAAATGCTGTTAGTTTTGCCTGTAAGACGGTTGTATATAGAAAATGGATCCAGTCCTGGCAGAATCAGTACAGCCCTCAGAATTCATAAGTTCCTAGAGAATATTTTGACTAAATTGGCTCAGTGGCAGAACATAAAAGTTTTTTATGAAGTAAGTTCAGATGAGGGTCATAAATGAACTGAAATTGTGCGTGTTAAATAAACATTAATAACTTGTATGTATTGCAATGCCCATGGAATTTGTGCAGGCATCAGAGCCACTCTTGCTTTGGAAAATCCCAGCTGGAGCTATAGTGCTGGAACCCAAGTGGCCACAAAAGCAGCCTGGGGGAGTCACTAAACTGGGAATTTTTCAGGAATTTAGCCCTCTGGGGCTGATGTGCTGCAGCAATATCAGAATGTCAAAGCTTAGTTCTACACAAAGCAACATGGAATAGGGGGAAATCCCCCAGGAATCAGCAAAAGTGCAGGAGCATCATATGACATAAATGTGAGAAGATCTTTATATTCCTGGATGTTAAGGGCAGAGGGAGTGATGTGGTTGTGTGGCCTGCCCTGCTGTGTTACCCAGGCCATGGGCTCCCCTGAATCAGTGCCTGCTGAAGGGGCAGCAGCAGTGGCAGAGCCAAGGCAGTAGGTCCAGCCTTCTCCGAGCTTTGGGTCCCTGAATATCTGGTGTGCTGACTTCCCTGGAGAGCAAACTCGATTAACTGATGCCAGAACCTCGTTAGCCTTTTAGTTGTCTTCGGTGGACGTGTTGTCCAGTGCCCTGAGGATCACAGTTTTGTAAGCAGTGAATTAGTCTGAAGAAAGCAGAAGGGCTAAGGCAGGGCTTTTGACCCAACTCTGAGCAGCATTTCAGATGCTGGTGAAGAATTTCTGCTTGCATGTCATATATGTAATTAGTTTGATATTTATATTTATATTGCATTCCATTTTTCTGGATTAAAAAAAAAAGCCAAGGAAAGAGCTGTGATAGATGTAAGGATTTCGTTATGAGGTCCATGGTTTCACTCCTCCCTTTCCCTGACTGCTCTTCCATCATGAGTCTTCTGAGTAGGAGGTGTAACAGTGATGTAAAGAGGATTGCCCATGGCACAGGAATGGCAGGGTACTGCAAAGCAGCTTTGTAAGAGCACCCGACTAATGGCAGTGTGTACAATAACCATGTGTGAGCTATTGATGCACAATAATTTCTATGACAATTACCTGCTCTCACCCCTTCTCCTTCTGAAGTTGCAAAAGTCACTGTGCACAATTTTTGGAAGGCTTGAGGTTACTATTGCAGTAAATTGTGACCATGATGAGCAGCCCTGGCCCAGGCCCATGCAGAGGTCTGTGCAGACCTGATCCATCTTGTCTTTAAGTACAGCTTTTGTCTGTCTTTAAGTACATACTCATAACTCACATATGTCAGGGCTTACAGACCTGGATGCATTCAACCACATGATTTAATGTGGTAACAGAACTTCCTCATATCCCTGCTGCAGCCTTTTATAGCTTTTCTTGACTTTAGCAGAAGCAGGTGCTGCCTATAGCCTGAAAATGAGGCACAGGTAAATAATCCCTGCTTCAGGGAAGAGAACATTACTTAACAGACTAAAATTAGTGCCTGAATCATGCAGAACCCTGTGGGGCTGATTTTTCATCCTTGAGAGGCCCAGTGCTCTGCACAGTGCACCTGAGTGCACCAAGTTCTGTGTGGAGCATCCTGGGCACACCTGGTGAGGCTGGGAAAGGAACCAAAACTTTAAGCCCTGAATTTATGTTTTGTTTTGTAATCTCATTTAACAGAACTCTCCCAGTAATATGAGCATGAGCAACCAGCCTGGCACTCCCAGAGATGACAGTGAGATGGGTGGAAACTTCCTAAACCCCTTCCAGAGTGAGAGTGTAAGTATTTCATTACCTGGGTTGTTGGATTGCAAAGATGAGGCTGTATCTCTGGCCTTTTGTTTACAAAAATATAATTTACAAGTTTTATAGCACACTTGTAGTGCAGCACTATGTCCTGCATGTTTTTTAATAGTTTCTGAAAGTACAGTATTGATTTGAATAAAAAGTCCTGTGCAAAAGAGAGCCAAAACTGGAATGGGTGGGAGGCACAGATTTACTGCAGAAGCTCTCTGCACTAGGAGGTCAGTGGAAAAGCAGAGTTTACACTGAAGTATGTGATGAGATTATAAATTTCAGAGATTGCATGCAGATTTCATGTTGCAAAGATGAAGTGTGCCATTACACCCATTAAAGGCAGAGGTTCCCACTAGCGTTCATTCTGGAGCTTTTTTAAAAAGTATGCTTTTAATTTTTTTTTTAAATATGGAATGCTCAAAGCAGCAAAACATGGTGTACACGTTTTAACAGAGCAAGGCTGTGGAACTGTCATGCTCAAGTGCCTGAAGCTGGGTTTCTGAATCCTCATCTAGGTCCCTAAATAGGAGTGTAACCTCATTACCTGTGCCAGTGGTGACCTGCAGCTCAGTAAACATCTTCTGTTAGATCACAGCATAGTTGAGTTCCATGGAAAATTTCCTGGGAATCAGATTTTATAGGGTTTTGAGAGGTTTTCTTTTTTAGCTGGTGAAAAGGAGGAGTCTCTGCCAGTTAGCTGTTGGTGGGCACACATTCAGGTTGTGTGGAGTGTTGAAGAAAACTGTCATACACAACCTAAAAAGAGCAGTGTTTAATATCTGCCGAAATGGCAGCAAGCACAGAACCTCCATGAAATGTGGTCCCTGTTCCTGGCAGCCCTTGGCTCCCAGTCTGGCAAGCTCTGCTGTGCTGAGGGCTGCCAGGGTCACTGAAACAGGGCCACGGGAGCAGGAGGACATCAGTGGTACTCTGCAGAAAATCAGTGTTCTCAGATACTTCTAGATTCTGGCAGTTGTTGTGCTGCCTTGAAGAGCCAGGAGCTCAGATTTCTCAAGGTTTTGTTGAGAACTCCTTTTGTTGAGGGCAGGAGTGGCACATGCCAGGGGTGTCCCTGTGTGCTCCCAGGGACTGCTGTCTCTGGAACATGGCTTGCTCTGTCATCCTGGGGAGCTGCTTTGCTTTCTCACCCATGTTTTGCCACTTGGCTGCTCAGAATATGTGTTATCATGGCGTCCTTTCTCAGGGAGGTTTGCTGTTCAGTTCACCAGGAATTTTGGTTAGGATGTAGGTAGCAATGCAGGGCTTACTAGCAAGTTGAAAAACTCAAACACCTTGAGACCATGCTTTGATTCCTTTCTCAAAGTGATTCCCCAAATACCTTGGTTTAGATACAAGAAATGCCTTGAGCAGGTGATTTGCCTTAATCTTTGGAACTGATAGTCAGATCTGTGTAATTTACAGGGGGAAGACCCATGTAAATTATTCTTTCTATATGCTTGGACATTTGGAACTGACCAGCTTGGAACTCAAGACTTGGCAGGATATTTAGGGCACATGTGGTTTTGCACAGGCAAATTTATCTTTCCTTTTTCTTCTGTCAATTTTCAAAATGCTGATCTTGTTGCATTTGAACATTTTCCTCTACTTTAGAGGATGTTAGACCAAATGAAGTGTTTTTGCAGTCCACAGTTTTCAATTTAAAAGCAAATGAGGTGTATAGATGTGCATTTCTTCTAGGCACTGTGTTGTGCCATTGATTACTTTAATGAAGCACTGCTAACCTGAGGGTAGCTGTAGCTTGGGTAAGGGCTGCACTTCAGTTTGTGTCACTGCAAGTGTGATGTGCTGATTGGATTTTTGGTTCACATAAAGGAGAATGACCACTGGTCCCTGATTCAGCTTACCCCCTGAAATGGCTAACACAAAATAATACAGACCAAAAGCGTGATTTAATCACAGCCATACATTTCTTTGTGCTTGTCTTCCCACAAAGACAAAAACTCCCAAAATCTTGTGTGGTTCAGCTACCCATCAGTACAGCCCGTCTACTTCAGACTAGGCACCTGCCCAGGTAAATTCCCCAGTAGCCAGCACTGGGCAGGAAGGGGTGTGGAAAGCCTCAGTGAGGTTTTGGTTCATCACAGCACCCAGGTAACACTAAAGCAGCCCTCAGGGGAGTTGCCTTTGTTAGCAGTGGCTGTGTTTTTGCATGAGAGAAGCACAGCAGAAGTTTTGGGGTCACAAACTGAACTACAGCCCCAAGAGAGGCTGCAGCAGAAATTCAGGAGGGAGCTGAAGGAGCTCTGAACCCAGTGCTGCGGCCCAGGTGTGGATGTGGCTACCTGGGGGCGGGTGGGATGAATGTTTGTTAAAATGTGGATTCCTCTTTTCCAGTACTCCCCTAGCATGACAATGAGTGTGTGACCTGTTCACAAGTGTCGCCATGAAGACCACAGTGAGTTGGCCCTCTCCAGAGAGCTACTGCAGAAGAAAATTATTCGTCCCAGTGTACAGTTTAACTAAAGGATCTCAGACACAATCAGACCCACCCGTTTTGGTTTTTTTTTCCCTACCATCTCCCCCGTTTTGTCAAGACAGTGGGTCCCAGACATGCTTGAGACAACTGTAAGGAGTGGCATGCGACAAGTGCCCGAGGTGGAGCTGCCAGCGCTGTCTGTGTGTGTACATGTGTGGGTCGGCGTGGGCTGTGTGTGTGTGACACACCAAACACACACACACAGACCCCAGGACACTGTAAAATAGGGTCACATCACATCGTACGTAGAAATCAGAAGTAGGGACTTTTATTCCATTTCTTTTCGTTTGTTTGGTTTTTTTTTTTTTTCACGTTTACATTTTAATTATTAAAATTTGCTTTCCCTCTCCCTTCCTGAACTGTTCTATGTTGCATATATCACTGCTTTATAAGTTATTTTTTAAGTTGAACTCAAAGGATAAATTCTTTTGGTTTTGTTAGTGTCTGCCATCATGGATAGGAATAAAATTGCTTATACGAGCTTTCATTACCTTGTGTTTGATACCAGCTACCCTGTGAATCACAAATTGTACTGTCTCAAGAAATAGAAGAAAGCTCATCTTAATTTTTTGGAGAAATTTAATAACTTCCACCTAGTTTGGGGATTTTTTTTGATACTTTGCCTTTAAGAGAAAAAAAAAAAAAAGCACTGAAGGTTATTTTTCTTCTTTAATTGAAGCCTAATATCTGCAATATCTATTTTAAATGGAAGCCTGAATTTGATACAAGCTTCTCAGTTTATATAGAGTACTATAAGGTTACTGTAAGTGAGCTCCAATTGCTATAGAATCTAGCAATAAAGTGTCAGGGCTTCTCCTGCCCTTGGAATTGAGTTTTCTATTTAGCATGGTCTTCTGTAGGGGTGGTAGTTAGTGGAAATACAATAGAGTCCTTATCACCAAAACATTTTCTAACAACTTACAATTATGTTTCCCATTTTCAGTGATTCTCCAACAAATACGAGAAATCCGTGTTCCAAATTGCAAACAATATTTCCCAAGCACATTTAGAAAATCAGGTCACCCTGCTGCTTGGGTGTGTGTTTTCTGCCATATCTGCTAGAATTAATTTCCACAAAACTTCCCAGTCAGCAGCCTTTTTTTTTTTTTTTTTTTTTTTTTGAGCCAAATGCCACAGTAAACTTTTTATGACTACTAGCCTTGTGAGGATGTTACCTTTCGCCATGAACAGAAGAGGAACAGAAGTCTGGGCCCTTTTATAAGGAGGACAGGCAGTTAGGTATGAAAGCTGGGGACAGAATGCAGAAAAAGGCCTAAAGGAAACACTTCTGGAAGCATTCCCATTTCTCTTCAGGCAGAGCTCTGGTACATTTACTTAGTTCCTGATGAGTTTCAGCTCACCAGGAAAACAAAGGGTTTCAGTTTGTAGTGACACAAAGGCTGATGATCAGCAATTCAGGCACAAAGTGGCTCAGCAGAAATTCGTGCCACAGACAAACAGCAAATTCCTCTCCTTGAACTTAAATCCAGAAGAGCCACTTGCAGAGGAGGAGCAGTTCTGGGATGTGGTACATCCATGTGCAAGGGGATTTTCTTTCGTGAGCTTGTGATAAAGGAATATCACCCATATGTGATGGGCTTGTGATGGTAGCTGAACGTAATGGGATGTGTAAGGAATGCTACAATCTCCTAACTCATTTTTATTTCCATATATTATATGTGTATAATATATGGAAATACAAATATTTTATACTTTACTCTCCTGTTAGGGCTATTCAAAGATGAAAGTCTCAGACGATTAAAATTATGTTGAAGTATCAAAGATTTTGGTAGCATTACTTTTAGTAAGAACTACTTGATTAGATATAAACATGACCTAGATAGTCATTATATGGTTTTGTAGACTGTATTCTTATTGATTATGAAGGTCACATTCATTTGCTTCTCTTTGGAAAACGCTTTGTTGCCGTCTCCAAAGGTGCTGGAAGACCCTGCCATTGGCTTGAGTCACAAACACAGAATCAGGTGTAATTTCCTCAGACCCTTTGCTGTTGTCACTAACACCACTGGTGTTCCCCCAATTAGAGTCCAGGTGTCCTTGCAGCCTGTGTTTGCCACCTGTACTATCTGAGGTAGCCTTCCAGGGACCTGAGGAGTCTTCCTGGCCCAGTTTCAGTCAGATGATGTCTGCTGATGGACTAAGAGAGATGGGAACAGTGCATCAAGTGCCAAAGCCTATTCCCAGGTCAGTGAGCTGTCACGCACCTTGGGAGGATGGAAGTCTGACCAACAAACCAGTGCATGGAAATGCTGGCACAGATTGGATATCATTATTAAAACATCTTATCCTCACTTTTATACAAGAGCATAATGTCCTTTCAGCACATGATTTAGTCATTGTGTCCTGCATTTCTCATACCCAGGCAGCAGCTGATGTCACTAATGCTTTGTCCAAGGCTTCACCCAGCCTCAGCCAGGCTCCTGGAGAGGCCAGGCTCTGCAGCTGGACCATTAGAACACAATCTCATCTGCTAATTACTTAACTTCAAAATTACACCTTAGGGTTATTTTTTCCTAAACATGCACAGGGCTTTTTGCTTGTTCGTTTTTCTTTCTTTTGCTTACAAATCCTTGTAGGATTTTCATGGTATCTGGAGTATCAATATGGGAAGAAAGACTATTCCCAAGCAGTCAGTTTTTGCTCCCACTTACATTTTTTGTGCTCCAGATACCAGGAACAATGTAACTGCTGTTTAGTTCTGTCCTTATGCAACAGCACTGTTGATAATATCGGAACATGTCCAGTTCTGGTAGGAATTTTATTTTAAATGGTGCAAATCTTCTTACACTGGGTTTTTAGATAGATTCTGCTCTTTAGTATAGAAATAAATAGAAGTTGATTCTGTAAATGGATCTTTCAGGCAAAGTTGAAGTAAGCCTTTTTAAAAACAGAAGTGACCGAATCTTAGAGTAGCAGAAATAGAGAGTAAGGAATCTTTTATGCTGTGAGAACTCTTGCAAATACTCCAGCTTTGTAGAAATCAGCTGAAACTGGATTCACTTGTGAACCTCACAGTGAAACCAGGGTCTTACCTGCTGGAAAGGAACATCCAGATCCAGATGTATCTCCACTTCACCCATATTTTATTGCCTTGCCTAAGAACAGGGTTTGGGGCAAGGAAGAAGCTGTCTGAATCAAAGATAAAGCATGTGGCCTGGCATGCAGTAACAAAATACCTGGATATTTGCATGTAGGGATTAAATTACTTTCTTAACTACCTGAGAATGAGGGAAAACTGCAGTTGCACTTCCTTCTCCCCAGAAATTCTGGTTTTTTATTTGGAAGCCCTCTGGTTGCAGAGCCCTGGCCACCTAATGTGTCACATGTTCAGGGACAGTAACAACTTCCAGGCTTTCAGCCTGCTCCCCATAATGTAGGACTAAATGTTTCATGTCCCAGGACATCCAGCTGTTCCTTTCCTTCCAACAGGAATACTCAATGAGAAATATAAAGCCTAATCATTTATTTTAAATAATTCCACTTGGGAAGAAGTGAACTGAAGCTTGCTTCTTTAAGGATGAATCAAAGGACAGCTTCTTGAACTGCCTAAAACCAATTGAATTTTCCTCTGTTCTGTGGCTAGCAAATGCAATACTGCATGTGCAAATGATTTGGAATTCGATTTAATGAGGGACCAGCTGTTACAATATTTAGTGTTGATCACTTTATTCAAAATGACTTTTCAGCTGATACATGTTGCACAGGTTTCTATTTCTGTGTCAGTTAATTATTAAGTGTTTTCCCCTGTTCCCAGTCAGCTCTGATCCATTGCTGTTGCAGTCATGGCTAAGTATGGACTGGATTATTTGACCCTTGCATTTCAAGAATGTAAAATGTACCTTAACGATGTAAAAAGTACAGGTAAATGTCTTTTCCTTTAATTCACTGTAAGTGATAATACAACTGTGGGTGCTGTCACACTTGGGCACACTTGGGTTTGCTCAGGCCTCAAGGATGGGAATCCTGACAAAGCACATCTTTCAAATAAACCCCTATAAACTAGTACAACACTATTATCTCACATTGAGGATCCAATTCATGATTTAGTGATTCAAAACAATTTTAAAAATTCAGAAATAAATTAGTTAGGTTTAAATTTTGCTGTATGCAGGTGTCTACTTTTCAGATATTATTGGCACAGTTCTGTAAACTGCTGCTCGTGCCAATTCTGCTGAAACTTTGATGTCACCATTCACATCAGGTCATTTTTTGGGTAGGATTTCACCCTAGTCTGGGTCAAATACATAACTTACCTGTGGTGTCACATTATTTGGTAGATGTACAAACTGAGTACATAGAGCAAAATACAGAGGGTCTGTTGAAATTACCAAAACAACGTTTCAACCTAAAAAATAAGAAAAGAGAGTTTAAAATAGTGCTTTGAGTGCACTCCTGTATGCTGTACCAAACCCAGAAAAAAATAAATGGATCATCTACTCAGCACGTGAAAATTCTGATCCTGCCAACAGCTTCACCTTGATTTGAAATTGAGCCTGCACATAGTTAATTTTAAACAGATCTTAGAACACAGGTAGCATCCTTCAGAAAACTAAAAATGTAAGACTGTAGTACTCTAAACTCATGCTTGAACATGGACAGTCCAGACCTCAAATTAAGTCTTTTGTAAGCAGACATTATTTTACAGATTTTACCATGCAGGAGCATGTTTATGTATCAATAGTCCTGACATGCAGAGCAGACTTGGCTTTCTTCTGTTTCTTACTTTATTAGAGCCTTGTTCACTATTACATAAACTATTTCTGTGAATTTGTTCTTCCATCTTGTTTTCAGTTGTGCAGCCATAGTTTCCTTCCACACAGCCAGCAGCTTTGCAGTTTTAGTCCAAACTTCTGTTTGGTTGCTGTTCCTCATTTAAGCTTAAAATGTGTAAGAAAGCCTCTCATGTAATAGGAAAACTTGCCATAAAAATGTATAAAGGTTTTCTTGGGTACATGTTTTCAAATTTAATAAATGCAGTTTTCGGTTATAATTTGAAATGGTCACTTTCTAGCCACTATTTCAGTTTTGTGTGCAAAAGGAAATGGAGAGAGAAAAAGAAAATCACTTTTTTTGTCTTTATTTTAATTCAGCATTGTAAATATTTGCTGAAAGACATGGTTTTGGGGAAATCAGATGAAAAAAGAGATTTGCTTCCTAGTTGCTATAAATAATACAGCTGGACTTCCTGTTGAAAGCTCCTTCCACATCCCCAAAAGTGTACTGCTTGACACCTGATCCGTGTGACCTTGTAGCAAGCCTGATTCACAAACAGTGGTTTGATTTGCCCGGCCAGCGCTTTCAGTGTGTCTGGTGGGTGATTCAGGGTTCTGTGGTCTCAGAATTGTGGTCGAGCAGGCTTGTTCCCAGGCTCAGGTGGCTCAGGACTGGGCAGTTATCCACAGGAACAAGGTGTTTGTTTGTTTGCTACCTCGCTGTTCTCTTGAGAACTTGCACAACTCTTCTTGCCGTTAGGTTCTGGGGATCCTTTCAAGATTTTACAGTGCTGAGACAAGAGGCTGGATTTTACTAAGAGAAAATTCTGGCAGTTTTAGCATCAGTTTTCATAAGGAAACAGCACAGAACATGGGGATTTTGAAAGGTGATGTGTTCTCAATAGCCTGGGTGAGCTAGGAAATAAGACTGTACAGCCTACGAGTTTGGGCTATTACAGAGATACTGAAGTCATCAGTAATTGCTTTTGATGGGAAAAATTACTGTTGTGGAACAACTGCTCTGATCCCTGAGAAGTCAAATTGTCAACTGGATGAACTGGATATTTTAGGCTTTATTTCTGTTCTTTTAATCTT